ACCTTAAAACAAGCCATAGACAACGTTATAAATAGATTTGTTTCTATGAGAAGAAAGGTTACAGCCTGACTAAAACTTTTTATGTTCTGTTTTTAATCTATCCTGACTATTAGGTGGTTACCGTTGTGTATCAACTGCTGAGACCTTAAAACAAGCCATAGACAACGTTATAAATAGATTTGTTTCTATGAGAAGAAAGGTTACAGCCTGACTAAAACTTGTTATGTTCTGTTTTTAATCTATCCTGACTATTAGGTGGTTACCGTTGTGTTCCATGTGGAATAATGTTTAGCAGCGAAAAGACGCTTCATGCTCATCAAACGTTCTATTGTTCTCATCGTCAAGAAACTAAAGACGACATCTCGTTCCCAGTACAGAATAGTAAGTACTGCTAAACAGTCAAACTAGATTCAATACCAAACAGTTAGAACTGCTACACAGTCAAACTAAACTCAGTACTGAGCAGTAAGTACTGCTAAACAGTTAAACTAAACTCAGTACCGAACAGTTAGTGCTGCCAAACAGTATAACTAAAATCAGTAATGAACAGTTAGCACTGCCGCACAATCAAACTAAACTCAGTAATGAACAGTTAGCACTGCCAAAGAGTCAAAGTAAACTCAGTATCAAATAGTTAGCACTGCCACACAATCAAACTAAACTCAGTAATGAACAGTTAGCTGCCAAACAGTCAAACTAAACTCAGTAATGAACAGTTAGCACTGCCAAACACTCAAACTAAACCCACTAATGAATAGTAGGCACTGCCACACAATCAAACTAAACTCAGTAATGAACAGTTAGCACTGCCACACAATCAAATTAAACTCAGTAAAGAACAGTTAGCACTGCCACACAATCAAACCAAACTCAGTAATGAACAGTTACATTGAGCTGTATACTATAATATATCACTGGTAATAGGTATATATTATGTAGCATTTTATCATATTTAAAAAAAAACAACCTTAATATTATACGTTGTTGTTGTTGCTAATAATATACATTATAATGTAAACAGGATTTATTTCTTATTCTAAGCATCCTTTATTTTAACTGTACAACTTTAAGGTAGAAAAACAACAGGATATTCAATATTATAACTAATGTTAGCATATAAAATATCTGCAAAACTGAAACTGTGCTAGTTTAGTTTGACTGTTTGGCAGTGCTAACTATTCATTACTGAGCTTAGTTTGACTGTTTGGCAGTGCCCTATTACTTGATACGGCGCCCTCTGTGAAGAGGAAACGACACTATACACATCTACCAAGGAAATGATACATTATTTATAAATTTAACTATTTATATATACATCAAAAATGTTAGTCCGTTATGAAAACATTGACGTTAAATATAAATTGCTAAGAATAATTCTAGCTAGGACAATTAAAATGTAATCTTAGAGGTAGATCGCTTGAATGAATTAATTTTAGGAAAAATTGGTTGCTGATGATTTGGTGGTAAATAATATTGACGGTGAATCCATAACACTAGTTATTTCTACTTACTAGAATTAGCATAGAATCTTTTGTATTATTACACGTCACAAAAATATAGGATGGGAGACTTAGGATATAGGATGTATATAGAATATACATATAGAATATGTATATAAGAATATAGGATGTATTTCAATATTACAAAAAGTATCTACAAAAACTGCATATATTCGTATTTTTGAATTTAAATTAAGTACTTTTTTTTGTACTGAAAATAAATAAGGTCAAACAACTACGAAGTTAGTATTGATAAAAATTGATTTGTTTTTTCTTTTCCACAGTTAATCAGGAGGAACCTGTAGTTGAACTTTCAGTAAACAATTTTGAGCCTAAGCCTAAACAGGAGGAAGCCAGGGAAGAAAACTGCAGCAAACACAATATATTTCAAGTCGATATAACTAGTAACGATTTAAAATTAGATGCGCATGGGGAATCAGAGAACAAAATGATTACATCAAAGTTTGAAAAATTTAGATGCTCATATTGCTTTTATGCATCAGACAAAAAGAGTGGGTTAACAAGACACATGCGTATCCACGAGACTCCTATCTCTTATACTTCTGAAACATCTCCTCCACCTTCCAGGTATTGTTCATTGTGTCATATTCAGTTTTGTTCTATGAATACATTTCAAGCACACAAAAAACATTACTGCAATAACAGGAAAGTCCAAGTAGCATCATCAACATGCAAAAGTTCTGTAGAACCACAACTCGTGGAGTCTCAAAACTTCAATGTACAGGACTCGGAAGAATCCGAGTTACAGCGAATTCCCACCCTAGAGGCAAAGGAACCGTTAATTAATAGTTGTTTCCATGCCACTTCTACTAACCCTCTTATTGCAATGCCTTATCTGCCACCAGTTGTTGTGAAATCGATAAGTTCAAATGTTCTATTACCATCAGCGACAGTAAAGCTTAATGGTTCATTACTATCAGAGAGTGAACCAACGTGTTACAGTTCTTTAAGAAACACCTTGCCTCTAAAAGTAGGAATACCATGTGATAATCTACCCTGTGTTCAGAGTTCAAAGATATTAGCAGAAGATGACTGTCCAGAAGAAAAACCTTCAACGAACAATTGTGGTGAGGTTTTAAAGAAAACACAAAAGGAAGAGATCTTGGAGACACAGTCGTCAGGTGTTTTAGGCTTAGATAAATGTTCGGAACAAAAAGCACCAGAAAAGAAAACACACGAAAAAGAGATCCTGGAGACGCAGTCGTCAGGTGTTTTAGGCCTAGATAAATGTTCGGAACAAAAAGCACCAGAATTTCCAATCGATCTAACCGTTGGGAAAGATATTAATAATGCAAATGTTTTCATATCATTAAACGAACATAGCCACTCGTCATCTGATGATAACATGACAGTTTTATGTAAGTCTGAATGCCATAAAAACATCGAACCACACCAACCTTATACGACTATGAAAACGGAGCTTTCGAGTGCCATAAGTTGTGGATTGCTTCCTTCACGTTTGCAAATGTCTTGTCACAAACCAGCTTTAGTCAATTCTAGTAATCCATTCTCTGACGTACCTAGCAGTTCAACAAACTCCCAAGCTCTAGTCAAACAAGGAAGCAGTCAATGCAAAGAGTGTAATATTGTTTTTTATAAGTATGAAAATTACATGATACATAAGAAAAATTATTGTTCATCACGTCAGCAAAAAACAAAGCATAACACAGTTACTCCATCTAAAACAAAGCATAACACAATTACTCCAACCGCTACAAGTTCTACAATAATAGACACAGAGTTACAGCAAGATGGGACTTGTGATTTAGAAATAGATTCAAGTAAAATAACAGCAGCGAACAAAACTTTGGAAACTTTGCCTAGTCAGCCTATAGAAAGACAGTATTTTCAGTTCTTTTGTTTAGCCTGTGGTGTGAAGTTCACTTCTTTAAAAAATTTGAAGGCCCATCAAACATACTACTGTTCAAAACCAAGTGAAATGGCTGGACTAACATCAGAACCAACACCACAAGGTCTTATGTGCAATCGGTGTAGAATGTGTTATACCTCCGAAGAGGTGTTTAGGTCTCATCCATGTTTTATACGAATACAAAACTTTATATTTAGTCCATTCGATGCTTTATCTATGCTGAGTCCTACTACAGCTGATCCTAATATGTTTAATGAAACTTCCAGTAGTTTTAAGTGTATGTTTTGTGGATACATAGGTCATACAATACGTGGAATGCGAACGCATGTCCGTGCCCATTTGGAAAGTAATGCATCGCCTTCAGAAAATGTGAGTACCAAGAATAGGCCTCAAAATCATGAATCCCAAACACATTTAACTACTACTACGAACGTTACTCATTCTGATGAAAAGAAGAAAAGGTCTGCCTCCGAATCAACTCGCCTATCAAAGAATGAAGACAAAAATATTTCACGAGAAAGACGTCAGCAAAAGGACACCAGTCCAATTAATTTAGCTGAAAGTACTCCAACATCATCTAAGTATAATGACAATAATTGTAAACATAATTTCTGTTTATTTGAAAGCATGGACGCTAGGAATAGATGTCCTTCAGAAGGAGTTCACAATACTAGCTCTGAGAGGGAGTGCCCTATATTAGAAATTGAAAGGAGGTCCTCCGAAAATTCGCCAGTTCACCAGATCCAAAGTGAAACTCGGGTTTCTTTTAAAATGAGAGATGATACAAATGAAAATGTTAAAACTGAAGAATCCTCAGTTTTGGCCCCCAGTTTGGTACAAGACGCAAGTACCACTAGAGGGGTTTTAAGACTTTCTAAAGACAAAGAAATGGTTGCGAGATCTTCTTCAGATGACGAACCAAATGATGTTCAACATCAATTTTTGAACGAACAAGTGCATTGGTGTATGTTGTGCCCGTATTATTCTAAATACAAAGGAAATGTTGTCCGCCATATTCAAAATACACACAAAGATCTCGTAAATCCACATAATACAACGATGTTTCTGTTAAGCAGTTCAACATTTCTCCAAGATACAAATATGGCTTCTTCTTCTTCTTCTAATGATAATGACCCTTCCAATTTTTTAAAAGAAAGTAATTCCCAGATTGAAAGCTACATCAATCGCAAAGAGAAAAAACGAGATTTGGATCTCGATGAGCATCTCGTCGAGGAAGTACAACAGAATAACAGATGTAAAAGAAAAGTTTCCAACGCAAACCGATTAACAAGAAAAAATCAAGGCCCAAAATTCTGCAAGTCCTGTAATATCTCATTTAAGTACTTACCCTCGTTTATTGCTCATAAAAAATACTACTGCTCCTCCCACGACAGAGAAAGTATTCCTCACGAGGTGTAGCCATTGTTTATTTTACTGACTCTTAATATTGAGTTTTGTTTAAATTGTTCCAAGAATTCAGTTTTTTAAACTGAATATAAACAATATTAATTATTTTTTAAACATGAAACTAGGCTGTACAAGTGCATTTAATTAAGCCTTCTAGAAATTAGTCAACTTCCTAATTTTTTTTTCTCTGGCACATTACTTGTTAACGCAAGTTGGTTTCGGAAGATTTTTGAGATCTCTAACTAAGATACTTTATCAGCTGAATTGGAGAATTGTTTCCTGCAAATACTAAATGTGTTTTTTATATACTTCAAAAGTCGAACGTTTTGTATATATGTACATGTTTTTGATATGTGTAATATGTGTGCTTATGTGTTATATAAAAGTGTTATAAGTATCCCTGGATAATTTCTTTCTCTATGTACAAAAGTACTCTGATACATGTGACCGAACTTGTCAAAATAATGATTTCTCAGCAGTAAAGAAAAACTTCGAGTAATAAGCGAGTATCATGCCGCAATTTATCAAAGTTTTGATTTCTGATTGATAATATTTCTCAAAAGGATAATTAGTGAAACTTTATTATATTGTATCTCTAGGACTTTCTTTATTGACATAAATTAATGTTTTAATCAACTGTTTTTTTTTCAATAAATAATTCTCATGAAAGTCGATCCGCACTGCAATAAAATGTACAATTATTAAAATATATCCCACTTATAAGTCCTCGATTAACTGTTTTTGCTTTCAGTGTTATACAGAGGTCGAGTACGTGATATTAAAACAGTTTTTTAGGCTCGCTATGTCGTTACGACCCACGTTATCCCCTCCGTTCATGCTCTGTCTGACGACCTTACATCTTAACAATCGCCCTGCAACATAATTTCTATTTCAGAAGACCCCATCGTAAGACTGTCACGTCCAAAACAAACAATGTCTCTCTGATTACTTTCCATAATCCATCTAGTCTGCGGGAAAGACAGCTTCCCGGGGCCAGTTTAAACGTTCAACTCACACAGAAATTTATAGGCACTGCGTCTAGCAACTTGACCGGTATGTCCTCTTACGAAGTAGCATGATACGCGTTTCATTCTCCTACTGCTTGACTTATCCAAACGTTGAACAGATATGTCATGGTAGCAACTATTGTACACCTGAGTTGTGTCGTTTTTCCAGTCGGAAATCCTTATTGGTTATGTTGTATACTCTTGCCTGGGGCACGTGGACTATTTTTGCTACTGACCTTTGTATTTGTGGATTTTCACCTGTTATAAGACGCCACATTTTCCTTACTATGGCTGGATACGACTAAGTGCAGGTCATTTATTTTCCAATGTCAATAAGTACAGGGAATATGTGGAAATTCTAAACCCCCGATCTGAACCCATCTTTACGATCTGAGTGTATGAATAATTTGCGTAAGAAAGGGCTATTATATACCCTTGAAAAAAAAAGCTATAGTTTTTCTGTTGCATCACAGTAAGTGATGTCAAAATGTAGTTCTGATACATCCTGTTCCACCGCGACTCTATATCGGCTGTGGTTGTGACTCTGCATGCATATTGAAAATCATTTTAATATAACGCGCTCAAACCTTTGTACTTGCTTTTACGAAAGTCCCTCGACAACAGATTTTATATTTTAATTACAAAAAGTTCTCCTTTAGCGTCAAAGATTTATAGGTTTTAGTTGAAACAAAACATTTATTCAGTGCTAAAGTCCAGTATACTAGTAGAACAAAAGGAGTCAAAATAACGGAGAGAGAGTTTCAAAAAGGACGAGATTTTGAAATTTTTAAGTTGTTCAAAGTTTCATCGTGTTCCAGAGATAACTAGATTAAGATTCTTCAAGGCTTTCACAACTCTACAGTGCATCTTAAAGGCCTTGGTTGAAGCGGTTTTATTGCAGGTCTTATGGCAAAAGTTATATCAAAAGATAGTTCTGACTATAAAAAGAAATGCTTGAATTTCATTTACTGAGAAGAAAATGCTGGCTTATTAGCTGCCAGTCAATTTGTTGATTAATTCAATACAACTACACAAACACTATCATTCTAAGTTAAACCTTTTTTTACTCTAAGCTTCACTAAAACTTATAGTAATAAATAATAAACTTCAACCTTCTCCAAGGATTGATTACTGATCCTTATGGCACATTACAGTTTTTACTCATACTCTGTAAACTTCAACCTTCTCCAAGGATTGGTTATTGAACCTTATGGCACATTACAGTTTTTACTCACACTCTGTAAACTTCAACCTTCTTCAAGGATTGGTTATTGAACCTTATGCCACATTACAGTTTTTACTCATACTCTGTAAACTTCAACCTTCTCCAAGGATTGATTATTGAAACTTATGGCACATTACAATTTCTACTCATACCCTGTAAACTTCAACCTTCTCCAAAGATTGATTATTGAACCTTATGGCACATTACAATTTCTACTCATACCCTGTAAACTTCAACCTTCTCCAAGGATTGGTTATTGAACCTTATGACACATTACAATTTCTATTCATACTCTTTGCCCATCTCCATTTTCCCCTCAAATATACTAATATATAACTTATAACTTAATATATAATTTATAACAACAGAAATTATTAAAAAGCACTAATTTAAACTCTTTAGCGAATGTAATGAACTCATATAACTGCTTAATAAACACGAACCTTACCTACATTTTTTTGCCGCTAAACTTGTTACCAAGTAAAGTTAAAGATGTACATTTAATGACTGCTTATTCAATTACTTTACACAACATTAGCGTGTAATATTGGTCTATCTATTATGGGGATTTAAACAGAGGACTCAAGTTAAAGTAGATGAATATAAAATAGACAGCAATTTCCGAGATCAGAAAATTAGCGGAATTTTCAAAAAGTTCTTCCGACTTTCGTCAAAAGGACTTTTTTTACTTGAAATGATCTAATTCAAGTTTGATTCTTTTTTTAAAAGGTCGACTAAAAACGCATGCAATCTATAATTCGTTTATTAGACCATTTACAGAATAATGTCAAATTCTGAATCACAGTAAAGTAGACCTGACTCTGTTAATTTATCTGATTCTGATTGTATTCATTGTCAGACTCACACTTTTCAAGCTTTCCTTTCGTTTCCAATCTTGAAATAACACAAGTGATCAATTTCAGAAATTAGCATTTTCCATAACGTGAGGGTTTGTATCAATTACTTTCTTATTTCATATTATTATGAGGTTTTTCTATTTTAAATATTTATTATGAATTAATCAAGTTCTTACTTGAGAGGAAGGTTTATAAAGATGAGGCGCAGACGATCATCAGGTCCAAATGAAGATCTGCGTCAAAAATTTCCTAGACAGAACCAGTCCATTGACAATCTTTCAGGTATATCCTCATCTTTACGCAGACGATCATCAGGTCCAAATGAAGATCTGCGTCCAAAATTTCCTAGACAGAACCAGTCCATTGACAATGCCTTTCAAATTAACCAGGTTATTGATTTTCAATCAGACTTAGTTCTTTCAATTAATTCTAATTAATTGTGAAGTTATTTGTTCCGTACGTTTTTTTTGTTTTTTTTTTGCTGCTTCTGTTCGTCTCTTTGGTATTCATTCACCAACGGCAATAAAAAAGTTGAATTATCAATTTACGATTAGTAAATACAGACTTCTATCGAATTTGTACCTGAAACACTATTAAGCTATGTTATATTTTATACTGAAGAAAAGATACAGGTTTATGCTTCACAAGTGCTTTATTTGAAGACTACAGTCTCATGTTTCATATACGGTACTACATATCCCAATTCATTCAGTGCAGTGATCTATGCAAGTAGCAATTACATTGAATGGTAAGAAGTAAAAAATAAATAAACTTTTATCTTAGCATCAGATCAATAAACAAAGAAGACATCTTAATTTTTTTATATGAAAAAATACAATATCATCTTATAAGAGTTTTGTGTTTTCACCTCGAAAACTCTTTACCTAGTGTAAAATAGATGTTGAAATTAGTTTATGAACAGTCCACTAAAACTTGTCCAAGGGTACACTCGAAAATACAATGTTTGTAAAAACAGTTAATGCACATAACCTGAACATCTCTTAGACACGCAGTCCTATTCTGTCAAGTATCGAAGTGTTGATGAAGTGAAAGTTTTGTTTGTTTGTTTTGAATTTCGCGCAAAGCTACACGTGGGCTATCTGCGCTAGCCGTCCCTAATTCAGCAGTGTAAGACTAGAGGGAAGGCAGCTAGTCATCACCACCCACCGCCAACTCTTGGGCTACACTTTTACCAACGTATAGTGTGATTGACCGTCACATTATAACGCCCCCCACGAGCATGTTTGGTGGGACTGGGATTCGAACTCGCGACCCGCAGGTTGCTAGTCGAGCGCCCTAACCACCAGACCATGCCGGGCCTGAAGTGAAAGGTGTCTGTTATCTAATATTCGAATATTTCTGTGAGTTTGTCAGGAGAAGTATTAATGTTGTGTTTTGTAGTTTTGATCTTATTTTTCACATTCTTAAACAATGTGATAAATTGATTGTACGAACCCATAAAAATACATATTTACATAAATTGTTTTATTATGATTTTCTGTATTGTGACTGAAATCGGTTGGAACAGCGGTTCTGTTCGATAAAAGGACAGGATACAAAATCGCAAAGTCGTTTATTATACCTGTTATGAATAATAGAATAGTGTCATAAATATTCCGATTGAAGCAACAAGCTACTATTTATTGCCACGTCTCACAAACTTGTCCAAAACTTTGTCGTTCGTTCAATATCGATTTCACATTTGTTTGTAAACGATGGTTGTTAGGAGATTTCGTATTCCATTTTATTGTTCTTCCTCTTTATTTCTTCTTAAACCTTATGACTATCTAAATTATAAGCTAGTAATACAATTGAAAATGTGCAATAGTAATACAATTGAAAATGTGCAATAAGTAGAAAATAACCCGAAAAATAATCCGTCATAACTTGTGATGTAAGAGCCAATTTTTCTTAGATGACAAACATTGTTCATCACGCATGCAGTGAGTTAAATTTCTATGTTATTACAATTTCACATATATAATTACGTAAGTAAGTACAGCGTAAGTCATTAAAAGTGTAGCCTCTCTTGACCATAATTTCTGCATATCCACCATCTCCAGAAGGTTGATTTGTGCCCCAAAGAAAGAATCCAGTCGATGGGTACTGCCATACACCATTGAGTTTGTATAATCCAATCCAAATGTTAGTTAAACTGGAGTTAACTAACTCGTATTGAAAGAAGTCCAAAGTAGCTTGATCAGGTATTTCAACTAAGCGAGCACCATCGACAAGACAGGCATCGACAGCGTCCTTCTTTATTACAGCATTGTTGACAAATTTAAAGTATGATTGCCCATGAAACTTGTATTCGGGAGAGACTGAAAATAAATAAATTATTGGAAAATTAAAAACAATGAACAACAAAATTGTTTCATTTGGAGAGCGGCCAAAATTAAAAAGACTCTACATGTTTCGGTAGTTTTGTGCTACTATCATCAGGAGTAAAAAACCTACATGTTTCAGTAGTTTTGTGCTACTATCATCAGGAGTAAAAAACCTACA